AGCGGGGCGCGGAGCTCGGCCTGGCCGGTCGAAGCCGGGGCGCGCACGGCGCGCTCATCCTCCGCAGCCGTAGGGGGCGCTGCGCGGAGGCGGCGCCTCTCTCGGCCCGATGACTCCTCTCGTTGGCGCGCCCTTTCCCAGCATCCCCCGCGGCGGTAGCGGAGGCCGTCCCCGCTCGGTGACCTTCGCCGGCAGCTCGCGCCGCCCAGCTCTAACGGTGCGTTTCGGCCCAAGCGAGGCCTTGTCGGTTGTTGGGGGCACTCGCTCAGGATGTCTCGGGGAGGCAGCTCTGGTTCAGCCTGGGAAGGGAGCGGGGGGTGAGGAGGCGCGGCCAGTGGCGTTCGAACTCTGCCGTTACAGGCGGAAGGGCCTGTGGGTCTGGTCCTGGGCGGGCGGCAGGTTCCCGGGACTGCGGTGGGGTCATAGCGGGGAGATCAGTGAGAAAACAGATTTTGTTGTTCCGGATAGATTTTAAAAAAAAAGGCCTGAACGACGTCGCACCCACCGAGGCCTTGGGGAAAGGTCTCTGCCGGGTTTTAGCAGGGTGTTAATTAGAAATAACATTGCTTGGTCTCTGTGTTTCGTAGTGGTGGGAAAATCCTTTCTATTCAGTCTCGTTGTTAGTATGTCTGGATATTTTGCTATAGCAGAATGATTATGGCACTGTTCCTCAGGAACTACAAATAGTGGAAATTTTGGGGGAGGTGCAGTGCTCTTAATAGTATGGGTAAAAGCACAACAGTTTCAGGAAATTGTCCACAATAATAAATTTGATTGAAATGTCTGTCCATAAACAAAGATAAGTGTAGGTTTTTCTACAGTTACAGATTAATTACCATAAAGATGCTTTGAGTCTTTAAGCAGCACCTAGATTTTTTAGTTTTGACATCAGCTACCCTTGCATCCCTATCTCTTTGATTCTTGCCAGAGGGTGCTTTACATTTAGTAACAGCAAATAAGTAAGTAAGCATTATCTCATAGAAGTTTTAAATATGCTTTTCTTTCCTGGAGCTCTGGTTTGCCATATACTGTCCAGATTATACATAGCTGACTTTACTGGGTTGCAGTAAGTAGTGACTTTAACAGGGTGAAGTGCTGAATCTAAGACACTAGAACATGTAGTATTGCAGTGCAGTGTAGTGCAAATGTGTACTAATGTGGTGTGTGGGAGTTAGGTTAAGCTTTATTTTAGAACATTTACTGATTTTTGTTTGTCTAACAAAGCTGCAAAGAAAAAAGCACTGATACAATTCTTGCTTTTGGGGCATATTTTGGAAGTAAAATATTAATGATAAACATTAATTCAGTAGCTTAACATCATTTATTTTGCTATTTGGAGTAGAAATTACCATGTTAGGAGAGACGCCTTACCTTTGGGGGAGGGAAGGAAACTAACTTGGTAGTGCAAGGAAGGAGCTTCTCTAGCTTGTCTGGAACAAGGCTTTCCTCCTGAGAGAATCTGAAAACATTTTTAAAAAAGCTGTCACTGATAGGGAGAGAGGAGCTGCTCTGTAAATGCTCTATTGAGTCACCTTTGGATCCCTTAATCAGCTGTAATTTATTATTGTTTATTGTCTTAGCCCACAAATTGTAACCTTAACTCTGAATTTTCATTGTTTTGCTTTGGAATAAGTACTTTTGCATGTTTGGGGACTTTTTTCTAACCTGTAAACTGCTGCTTATATATATTAGGAGTATATATATACATAAGTATATATATGTGAATATATAGTAAAAATACAGCAGGTAAGAATACAGTCGCACAACTCACCATGGCAAAACTTATTATAATTTTCAGATGGTGCAGACGATGATTCCAAAGTCATTGAGAGCCATGAAATTCTACTTCACTACCGTGTACCAAGAAATATGGGTTGGTGTAGCAATAACAGCTTATGTCTACTACAAAATTTCATATGGGGGTAAGTTACACATTATAGTCTTCATTAGCTGTTACTTGATAAGGTCTATAGGTGAGATTATCCTTAACAACTAGAAATGTCATTGAAAATATCCAAAAAGAAATTAACACTCTTGCTTAAGGCCAGTTTTAACATGCTCAGTGTAGAAGGTTGCACTAACAAAAATACTCAAAATACCAACGTAACTGTGCCTACATTATGAAGATTAGGTAACATAGGAATTGGTTTTAAACACACACATCTTAACTTGCAAGTATAGACAGAGGCTTCTTCTGTAGATTTGTACTGAAGGGGAATGTAAGACTGTTCTGAACCAGAACTTATTTTGATTAGAAATTTTTAAAGAATCCTTATGTTTTTGAGTTTTTGCTCAAGATATAAAAAAAATAATACAATTCTGAAAAGGTTTTCCCATGTGAACTTGTGGAAGTTAAAGCACTTAGTTTATTTTGGGCTGATATACCTCAAAATGTGAGGTACATCACTGAATGTTAAAATGTGTGTTACATGGTGATATCGGATCACTTAGAGGAAGAAAGAGAACATCTAATGTAAAAATAAGTAGGCCAGGTCCCTCAAAGCAGAACAGTGCAACTGATTATGGTGTCCTAAAGGTCCTGTTCTTCAATTTAGACTATGCTGAAAAAATTCCAAATCAAACCCTTTATGAGCTGTCATGAACAACAAAATGTTACAAACTGTAGACGGTCTTGACAGGGAAAGGAACCCCTTGCTGTGGGAACTGCTGAGTGATGTTACCCCCCCCATCTCTCTAGCTTTTTCAAATAATTTGTTGCATGTCCAAAACGGTTATGCTATACTTACAAGCTTAAGTAAATATAAGCAGTTGAACAGAGGGAGAGAAAAAAAATAAACTTTTGCTTTAACTTCTATAATTTCAAGGACAATTCAAAATTTGCAGACTGCTTCAAGTTTGTGGTCGTGTCATGCTACTTTTTTCATTTATGATTTAGATAATAGATGTGGTTGTGTAGGGTTTTGAGGGCCAAAACCTTGATAAGGGGGAACTGTATGGTAATCATTATTTTAAAGTGAAAATAGCTTTTAAAAGCTGTAGCCCCTCCCGCAGTTCGGGGAACAGTTTTGCAAATAATACATACATTTATAGAAGAGCATGTCATAGAGTAACTTAGATTGGAAGGGACCTCCTGAGCTCACCTGGTCCAAACCATTGCTTAAAAGTAGTTAGATCAGGTTGCTCACGGCCTTATTCATAACTCAAATTAATACTTCCAAGGGTGGAGATTGCACAACCTCTTATGAAGAATTTTTTCTATCTATTTTTGTCTGGTCACTGTGAATCAGTATTTTAGGAGAATAATTACAGTGGGAATGTAAAATAAGCTATTTTACCTACAGAAGAAGATTTTAAAGCAAACTATATTCTTAACACTTCAGTTTACATACATATGGTGCATGTATATATAGCCATACATTATGTAAAATAGTACCATTCTGTATAAGTTTCTTTTGATTTACAGTAGGAGTCTTCATGGCTACAATTTCTAAATGCATGGAGTAGTGGTTAATTAAAAGCAAACTACTTTTAAAAAAATCAGTGTAACATTTACTGACATGTACCATGGGAACTACATGTTGTAGACTTTAAAAATCTTGTTCAAGCTGAATTGGCAAATCATAAGTAGTATAATCTAATTGAAGTTTATCTGCAAAAAATAAATAGGAAAAATTTTTTTAAAATGTCATTGTTCAGCTTGTTTTTTTCTTTTTTTTTCAGGAAAAAAAGCAGTGGCAGATAGTAAGTATTAAATATCTAAATACCCTATTGTATTTTTTGAAAGAGTACAGTAAAAATTAGCTCAGCATGTTTTACATAAGTTTGGGGTTTACATTATGGATTTAGAAAATGTTTAAAGACTCCTTCAAAATATGTAGTTTTGGTTATATTGATGGTTAGAAACATCTGTGAATCTGCACAGATGCTACCTTGGTCTTAAATTGTCCTTTGTATAGGCTTTAGGAGTAGAATGGAAGTTGTATGCTGTGATTGAGCAGGGAGGAATTCTTTTAAATAACAGTAACAGCTACTTAATGAAATGACTTAAATCAGCATGATCTCAAGGGTAGGTGCTGTTGCAGCTGTGAAGAAGCTTAAGAAGTTTAAACTTGTATTCTGAATTTGTATTTTTATATCTTCTGTAAAGTAGTGTTTTGATATTTATGGACAGCTTCTGACATCACATTGGAATTTAACTTTTCATGAGCTGCTTTATCTCAGTTAACTTTCTGCACTGTGATAGACCCCATTTGCTCCCAGTTGAATTTGTATATGCAAACACATTTTAATTGGTGAAAATACTGTCCAGGAAACTTAAGGATAATAGCATATATAAATTTTAATAAAGAACCATACCAAAACTGAGGCAGAATGGATGTTTGCATATGAGTGCTTTAAAACTTGCGAAAGAGGATTTTTAGTGTTGGCCAAGTTTATGTATGTAGTTTGAGGATATTGTTTTATTTGACAGAGTTGAATTTGCCAGTTCTTGTGCTCAGGTGTGGATACAGTTGTCTGTTCTAGGTTCTGAACTACATTCCTGAATTGATTTGCTCTACTGTTTGAACAGTCTAAATCATGTTTTTGTTTCAGAGTCCTCTGGTGCTGGCCATCATTAAAGACTACTTCTCTTCTTGGAGTATGCACTTGGTGGTTTGTCATCTTTACTGTAAATGAAGCAAGTTACAACCATAGGGAATTGAATTCTAAAACTGTACTTTATCCATCTGCTGTAATTACAGGAAGAATAAATCCATTGAGTAACAAAGAATTAAACATGTTGGACAAAGTATGCTGGAGCATGTTAACTTAATTTTTAGAATAAGCATTTTTTGTTTTCTACAGTTCTTCTAAGATCCATGTTAAAGTTGTTCAATAGTGCTTTGAAAAGGACCAAATTTCTGTAACTAAACTTCTTAATAGAATCAGCCAACATTTCTTACAATAGTATTAAACCTCTTATACCTTTTTGGGCTAGAACTTTTGAAATACTCCATTTACTTCTAAGATGCCATTTAATAGTATGCCAAGTTTGAGAACTTAATTCTCAGCTTTTTGTCAAATTGTGGTGCAGTAATTAAGGGTACAAAGTTCTTTTTAAAACATTACATTTTCTTTAAAGAGTTTTCAGTTCTGCAAGGTCTAAAAGCAAAAGGTGTATTGTTATTAAAACACCATGCAAAATGTTTAGAGGTTTTTAAAAAGTACATTATTGGCAACTATCTTTTTTTTGTCCTTCATATACAGTAGCAGTAAGGAATTATTCTGAAAGGCTCTTTAGTCACAAATTTTGCGATGGAGTAAGTAATAACATGCCCAGATTGTATGAGAAAATTATTACTACATGGGCCCTCATCTTCTATTTGAGCTTATGAAAATCTCAGAATATAAAGGGAATAATGAAATTTTGCACTGTGGCAGCAGTTAATATAAGCATAAACAAACATTTAACTGACTTTAAAAGTTTTCATTTTTACTGATAATTCAGATGTAATACATGTATTACTAGGATGGGTTGTTACTGGGTTTTGCAGATAGCTGTTAATGTAACTCCATAGCTTGTATTATATTTTGGAGACTCTAGGAACCTACACTATCTTAAAAAAAACAGAACTGTACATGCTAAATTCTGTACCAGGGATCCATAGCGTATAAAACCAAAACTGGACTTCATGTCATGTTTTCATTTTAGCCTAATCTGCTTTTGAGAAGATTAAGAGGCTTAGGTAATTTTAATGACTTAATGCTTACGTACATCTTTTTAACTACTGCACTGAAACATCTTAAATCTTTCAGCTTGATTAAAATTTTGCTTTTCATTCTCCCTGACTGCAGTATCTGGCCATAACTTAAATATTTGTACTTGAGCACTGAGGAGCTAGATAACCTTACCTGCTGATGGCAAACATTCCAAACACTGTGTTGCCTTTAATTTCTTCAAAATCTGTACTTCTGTTTAAGCCTAATAGCTGTACCTACTACCAGTCATATTTCTGTGAAAGCTTTTTTTAAAAAGGCGGGTATTGCGTTACTCAGTTTGAAATGGTGACATCTATCTTTCATGCATTCTTGACGTTTCTTTCACCTTCCAGAGTTTTCCTTGTTGTTGCATCTTCCCTTGATACGTTTTAGCTGATTCTTTCATCATCATTTCTGTATGGGTTTTTCAGTATTTCCTCACTGCAGAAGAATGAGAAGTAGAAAGAACTCGCTATTTGTTTCTTTACATAAAACCAAAAGCATCCAGAAGAAGGGAACAGAATAAAAACTACAAGAAAATGGTGCTTCAAATGAACAGATATTAGGCCAGTGGTGACTACAGGGTGAGTCAGTGTTGTGGTATAGTTAATAAGTGGTTCAGATTTAAAATTCATGCCAGGTGAAGAGCTATACATGCATTTGTAATGCAAATTTATGATTAGTAGGTTATAGTTCCTAAGATACTACACATACTTCAAATGACGTGCTTTGGCAATTTTCAATTACAGAGCTAAGGAAAACAAGCTAGGGAAAAAACGTTAATCACTGCAGGATTTGCTTCACCTTAGCTAGAACCTAGTACACTGGGACGGAGCTACATCAACATGCTGTCTGATCTCTTACATGTTAACTGAAAACAAGAGGAGCTTCTGCTAACCTGCCCTTGGAGCACTGTTAACTGAACTTTTAGGTAAACTTTACATACTAAAACTCTTAACGCTTCTTGATATCTGACTTGGTTGATTTTCTAGTAGGGAAAGAAACTACATATGGACAGCAATGTCTCAGTTATGAAAACAACACTTTCTACCAAAATAATGCTATCTGCAGCAACTGGTTCTTCCATTAGTGCATCTGTTGGAAATTTCTGTGAAGGTTGCAGAATATTCCTGTTTCAGATTTTTACTTAACACACAAATCTCTACAAAAGACGGTAAAACTGGTATTTATGTTTAAATATTTTTTTTAATTTCTTGAGTAGGATACAGAAGGAAGAAATTAACTTTTAGTCAGTGGCTTGACTCCAAAGCAGAAATCAACACACCTATAATGTGTAACACCTGTAATACTATATATACTTACTGCTTCTCTGTGCTGAAGCATACCAAAACAACCATAGAGGAAAGTTAGCTAAGGTGTTTTATGTGCCATTTCTTATTTACAGTGAGGTGTGGAAGGAATAATAATTTTCTTTGCAGCAGTGGCATCTGGAGTGTAACACTAGGTAGAGAAGTATTGCAAAGGAGTACCCTTGAAGGGAGTACTTACCTTACAGTATGTGCCTTTTTTCCTAATTTAGGGAAGGCGATTTCTAAAGCTAACTTTAAAAGTTTTTTTTGTTCCAGGTAAGTGTATATATAGACAAGCCTCAGCTCCTGAACAAACCCATTTTCTATGCAAATGACTAAGATCAGGAGTTTAATCCATGACGGTAACATACATCATGATTCACAATTAAACACTGGTGGGGGAAATGTTTACTGCTCATTGATGGATCATGCTGTCTCCCTTTAGCTGCTGCCTCTTTATATTACTGACATTTCGAAAACAAGAGGATTACATTTAAACTTTGTAGTAAAATAGTTCAGCAACTGCATTTTTAATTTCCTGCCTGTGATAAGGCATTGGCAACAATAAAGTGACTGTTTACTACCTTTGCAATGTTAGTAGAACAACAAACTCCTATACAAACTCCTATTCAGTTACTGCAGTGCCATCTTGACCAAGTTTTGCTGTGGCATTGGTAATTCTCTTTTTAAATCAATACAGAACGTGAAAGCTCTGCAGTAGGGAGCTGTATTAATAATGACAATGCTAATGCAAGATGTGATCTTCTGAGATTACTTCTATTATTTGCCCCTCCATGCTGGACCAGGATTTCTCATTGTGGAGCTCTGAGATTCTAGAACACTTTCAACTGCTGTCCTACAATTAGAAATCTCAGAGTATCCCCTGTATCCTAATCAAGTATTATGGAATAGTCCAGGGGAGGAGCAAAATACAGTCAGGGCTAAAGAAACATTAGTCACAGAGCCCAACCTAGTTAACCTCCTTAATGGTTAACTTGGACAAAACCCCAAATGCCTATTCATGTTAATTGAGAGGATGAGTAAAGTTGCAGGAAATTATCTAAAGTATCTAAAATAGCTCAACTGGTCTCCTATTTATCTGAATCATGATAGCAAAACAGTTTGTGGTACAAATAGATCCTGATACAGAGCTGGTATGTACACGTGTATTGTACTCAGTCCTCAAGGAAGGAAAAGTAACAGGTGCTTGTTAGGTGATTATATGTGACATCACCACCAGATGGCTGAAATGAAACTGAGGAAATTAATGTGTGAAATCTCTATTGTTTCATTCATGGAAATCTGTAAAGCTACTAGGAACGAAAGAATAGTAGAATGGAGATTCCCTGAGGCATTAAATATGTTGGTTAACAATTCGGTAAATGGAGGAACAAGAAGTGACAAGACAGTACTTGAACAGCAAGTGTTTTGTACTATAATTCCATGACCTTTAGCAACTAACACTTAGCAGCTAATATTCTCTTTAAGAATATAAAGCCATGTGACTCCGATTTGGTAATTTATGAAGAACTTGTAAACAAGAAATTCCTGTAGTCTACTTCACTGCTGCAGGCAAGCTACTTGGAAACAATTACTGTAACTCAGAATGAACTGACCACCACAAGAATGGCGTATTTGGAAGTTTTAATTAAATTCTGCTAAGGATACTATGATGCCTTTGACTGTGGTTTAACAGTATGAGTACTCTGGCAGCTACACCAGCTTGTGGAGTTTCCACCCTTATACCACAGCGCCTTACTTTTCATAGTTGTGCTGATACAACTATCTGTGAATCTGATCAGGCATTTTTTCATTATTTTAGGGGTTTTTCCCCTCTAAAAAAATAAGCACTCGGGGTTTTTTCAGTTTTATTGGGGGTCCATCTTCTGATCTCATTTACAGCAAAGATGCTTTGTAACTTGCATTACAGCACAACAGTGTTAGGGTTTTTGTAGAAAAAGGGCAGAAGAATCTGAATTTATAGCTTCCCATTCCCTCACCGAGCTTTCCTAAGTCCCTTACAGTAACTTAATGCAAGTTTCCTCCTCATACCCAGCTATGCACATAATCAAGGTACTGTCTCTCCTGCAAGAACTATCATCAACACTCACAGGAATACAAAGAATGCAGAACTCCACCCTGTATACAAATCAGAAGTGTCAGCTTGTGCTTCATCAAAAAGGCAGAACCTTGCTTCATTCCTGTGACAGCACATCGCTTTCTCAAGTTTATAGTATCAATTAATTGGGACAAATGAACAAACAAGTAGGGAACAGGGAGAACAACTGTACCACAATATCCTCATGCTCAATACTTGCAGGAAGAATACTTTTAGTAATAAAGGATAAATTTGATAGTGGTTCTTCAAATCATATTGTCAGTTGTCAAACGAAAATGCATTTTTAATTACTATGACCTTCAAAAACCTAAAGTAACTTTTTAATTGATGTGATCTTAACTGTTTTATATCTGTATCATAACTAACTTCAGCTATCTGCTGGAACAGACAATAGAGATTTCTTCAGAGCTAATGAAGTGTGTTTGCTAGGAAATGATAATAGGGATTATGTGGGTGGTAGAACTAACAGCAGTATACTGAATGAATCCCATCTGTGATGACTACTTCTGCCTACACAGATTTTCCCTGCAGTATCAGTTGTAGTCTTCATTTCTTGTTTTAACCTGTTTGTTCAGCATGCTTTTGATAGTATTAAAAATTGCTGTAATTAATGGGGAATTTTTTAGGTATGAAGTAGAAACTATTGTGAGATACTTCATATGGAATGCTATATAAACAAGCAAAATGGCAACAACTAAACTTAATAGAACCATAGTATTATGAGAGAAAAAAAAAAGGGATTAAGAAAATGGATTAGAAAGTGAACAAGCAATTGATATAAGACAAGAATACATGGAAGGATACCCTTTTTTTCTGGGGTCTAATCACTTTATAATTAACTCCATTATTTATCTTGAGGATATATATAGAGGAGTGTCAAGCTATACTTTTTTGCAGCACTAGTATTGACTCTTTACTCTTGATGCTTCAGGTACACCTTTTAATTTAGTGTACTCGTACTGAAAAACAGCCTTGTTTAAATTCTCTTATACCTGACATTATAATTCTCTCCTTATACTCCTTATGTTGTATTCCATGTATCATAGCACATACAGATTGAAAATTGTTTTGGGCCCAGTTAGGACCTTAAGACACTTCTTTAAAATAATTAGCAAAAATTTAAAGCATTTCTTTCAGTAAGAATTGGAGTCATACCAGTTATAACAAAGGATATGACTCGTTTCAGTAAACATAAATAATTTTCAGCATGCTTTGATTTAGTTCATTCTTTTGCAGTAACACAACTGGAAAGGGAATCTTGCCAAAAATATCTTTACTTTTAAATTATGTATTCTTATTAATGCCAACTATCACACCTCTTTTTAAATTAAGGCTACTAATTGAAACATACTCAGGCCTGTCTAGAAGGACAGAAACAGATGCAAGAAAAAAAATTGTGTAGAACTTTCACATAACAATTAGAAAAAAAAGATAAAAGATTGAAGTTACTTTACCTTGTGCTGTAGCTTGTCCATTTATAGAACAGAAATACTGGTTTTGAATGCGAGACATAAAGAGTAGACAAACCTTTAAAGTAGCATCTAATCATCCCCAAGCAAGTAGGTTATTACTGTGTATACTCCTCCATGATGAACACACACTCCTTGCCAGTCTTTCAAATCTTCTGAGGTTCATCTGCCTATTATATCTTCTTTGAATAAATCAACCTAAAATAGATTCTAAACACATACCAGTGATACATTTTCTGCTGTCACTATTTCTAGGGCTTTTCACGGAATAATTTTCAATAGGGTTCCACCAATGCCTTGTACAATTCATCTCTCTTTACTGCTGACATTCTTCTGTTTATGCCACTAAGAATTGCAATAAACTTGTTGTAGGGTCACAACAATAAAAATAAAAATTATTCAGAAATGGGTTTCTGGAATATTACAAACCAAGGCACTTAGAGGCTAAATCAACTTGTCTCATGAATGTTCCCAAGACTAGAACACCATTACTTTACCTGGAAAAGGAATATTTATACAAAGAAAGGATGAACCTTAAGCATCAGTAAGGCAGAAAAACAGTGGTTTTATTTATCACATGGAAAAAACATTGTAAATGTCTTACATTACATCTGCTGGTCAGATTACTTGAGTGCAGCTGCTCTTCTATAAAAATACACTGTTAAAGTCTGTTGATGGAAAAACTGATTCACAATAAATTGTATACACCTGTGTAGAAGACAGCCATGCTCTTGACAAATTTTGGTGATCAAAAAGCCGCAGAAGTGATCACTTAAGGTGTTGGGGTTTTTATACATACACATGCGAGATACATAGAAAGCACAGAAATGTTTTCCATAGAGGTGTATCTTAAATCATAACCATATCCTGTTTCACAACTGTAGTGGTGTTTTATTTAAACAGCAATACTTCAATACTCTCTATGGTAGTTTGGGAGGAACTTCTTGAGTATTCTGATGTGTAAAATCTGTGATGAATACACATCAAAAAAAGGTAAAGAATGTTATTTCCAGTAGTGTGGTCTTAATAATGTAGTTGCTTAAATACCATATAAGAACAGATTATTTTTAAAAAAATATTTATTTTGGTTTATAATTTGCTTCTACTATATGTGAGTATTCTTCTGCTCAGAGACATGTTTTTCCTCTACAAGCCTCCTTTGCACATCCCCTTGTCTCAGTAACTGCTGAAAACCAGCATCCAGTATGTCCCAGACCAGTTCAGCGGACTCCTATCTCCCCGTCCAAGCTGCAGTTCCTCAAGTTCACCTATTACCAGCTACAAGAGCAGGAAGCATGAGCTCCATTATATTATACCCTCTGCATGCTTTTTCATATTACTTACCTTAAGTAAGCTAACCAAGGAAAAAAATATTCGAG